AGTCAATAATCTACTCCAATATTGTCACTCAGACGACAACCACAAGCACAGCACACTGAGTCTCGGAGTGGCTATCAGGAAGCCTCAAACAGCATCGAAGGCTCTCTCTGATGCAGTGGGAACCAATCTCCACCTGCAGGATCAGGATCATGACAGCAAGATGGATTCAACTCAGAAGGAAGGAAAGTAACAATCATACAATGCTGCGACATGCACCCACAAATAATGCAGATCAAGAGAAGAAGGAGGAATTCTACAGACAACTGCAACCAGTACACGACAAGACCCCAATCCTGTGGGCAGCATCAAAATTCTAATGAGTGGGGTGACATAAATGCCAAACTGGAAGTGGACAACACAAGAAGAGAACTGATCATGGGTAGAGAAACACTCGGTGAAATGAATGAGAATGCAGAACTGTTTGCAGATTTCTGAGCATTCAGCGATTTGGTGATATTAGGCTGTGCGTACAAACACAAGGATATTCACAAGGTAGCGGCAGGAACTTCACCAGATAGACACAGTAAAAATCAGATCGACTTCATCTCAATGTGAAGAAAGTGTAGACGCAGCCAGCCTACTGGACACAAGATGAAGAAGACGAGCAGATGTAGGTTTACACCACTCACCCATTATCTAGTGCAAGGAACCCACCTTCAAAATCAAGTTGAAAGCCTTCACAGAAGTTGGTGATAGACCACAGTTCAAGTTGAACACCCAGAACAGAAACTGAAGGATGAAACTACAAAGGACATCTTCACGTCAGTCAGCCATCAGGAAAAAATGAGAGACATTAAGCAGCATCCCCGAGTAAACTGCATGGAAGAACACTGGAACTTTGTGAAAGAGACATGGAAGGAAACCTGCATAACCCTAATAAGAAGGAAGAAGAAAGAAGACAATGAATGGATCTCGACGGACATACAGAAGTTGATAGATGAGAAAGAGGAAGATGGTGAAGCAGAAGATGAACCAGTGCAGTGCAGTGCAGAGATGAACAACAAAAAGAAGAACTGAACACAACCTATAAAACACTACATTGGACAAAGAAGTGAAGAAGAGTGCGCGGAAAGACAAAACAAGCTACAAGTCACTTGCAAGTGAAGCAGAACAGGCTGCAGGTAAGAGAGACAGAAACCTGACAACATTATATCAAATAACCAGGTTACTTACTCTATCTGAGAGGGGAGAGATCAACACAGCACAGGTGAAACCAATAAAAGATAGTGGAGGAAACCTAGTTACCACCAGAATACATAAAGTTGCTGAAATTCGAAAAAGCAGCAGGACCAGATGGAATTCCTCCAGAAGCACTGAAAACAGACGCAGAAACATCAGCAGCGGACATGCTCACACCACTGTTACAGAAGGTTTGGAAGGAAGGAAAGGTACCTGCTCATCAATTGGAAGAAGGGCTACCTTGTCAAACGCTCAAAGAAGGGTGATTTAAGTCTTTTCAAGAACTGGCATGGATTCATGCTCCTCTCCAGTCTACCTCAAGCAAAATATTAAGCCACATCATCCTGGAGAGAAGAAAAAATGCTCTGGATTCGAAGTCACGACCGGAACTGGCTGGCTGGCTGGCTGGCTTCAGAAGAAACAAATCATGTGAGGATCAAATTGCAACGAAACGCTACACATCATCACAGAACAGAGCACAGAATGGCAGTCAACTGGATCTCTACCTCAACTTCATCGACTTTGAAGAGGGCTTCAACAGCGTCAATCGAGAAGTAATTTGGCAGTTGCTTCAACACTACAGTTTCAGTGCCACAAACCGATATCGACCTAACTCAACAGCTATATGCTGCATGATGCTAGGTGCCGAGTGATTCACAGTGGGAAGCTCAGTGATGCGTTTGAAGTGAAGACAGGAGTAAGACAAGGTTGCCGCCTACTATCACTGATGATCTTCTTGATTGTGGTCAACTGGATCATTCAACAAATTGTGAGGAGTGAGGAGAGGGGTGTACGCTGACTAGACAAATGAAAAGACCCTAGAAGAATAATTGGATTCCGCCGCCGATGATGATTTATGTCTAATGTCTTGTCGCACAAACTCGAAGATGTACAGGCGAAAACCAACAAGTTGACAGAAGAGGCGAGGCAGTGAAGACGGGACTTCCTTCAGGTGAATGTAGAGAAGACAGAGGTGATGAAGATACTTAACCAACAACAACAACGCCAACAACAAGCACTAATCACCATGAACGGGAGAAACCTAAAGGAAGTAGTCTCTTTCTACTACCTAGGCAGCATCGTTTCAACCACAGGTGGCACAGATGAAGACGTCAAAGCCAGGATCCGAAAGGCAAGACAGGCCTTCATTAATCTGGGATCAGTGTGGAGATCTACTGCACTGCATTGCACTCACCATAAAGAGTGAACAAGATCCGGATTTTCAACACTAAGTCAATCAAGTCAGTGCTTCTGTGTGATGGTTGAGAGACTTGGCGTGTCACGAAAAGCATTTCCAACAAACTTCAGACATACATCAACAGCTACTGCCTACGCTCACTCCATACTGAAGATCAGATCAGATGGCCAGAATAATAGGAATAAGCAACAAGGAACTCTGGCTGGCTGGCAATGAAGCAACCAAGAACCCATTGCCCAACGACTGTGCAGAAGAAAGTGGAGATGGATTGGATTGGCCACACACTGAGAATAACATTTGAGGGCATCAGGCGCCAGGCCATTCTTTCGAGTGGAATCCAAAGGGGAGATGATGAGTTTGGCATCCGAGGCGAGGATGACATGGAGATGGTGTGAGGAAGAAATGGAAGTTTGTGGGCAGTCGTGGGACCGGGTTCAAAAGACTGAAGAGACGTGCTACTGAAGCCCTATGTTCCACTAGGAACCCAAGGGACAAATAATAATATAACAAATCAACGTGATATGCTGGACTTAGTAGTAGTGTGATGAAGACTGACAATCATCAGGCTAAATGTAGTACCAATCCATTGAAGACCTAGCTGTCGGATCGAAAACTGTAATCAAGAATGTAAGTACAAACGTATGTTCGCTAACTGCCTATTGACCTTAGTTTCATTGCTGATCAACTATTTGTTGTTTAATTGCTGGGTCATTTTTGCTATTTTAGTTATTAAGTAGTTGCATATAATGACGTCCGTTTACCGGAGTTAACAGTAGTTGTTATTCGAGTACAATAAGCTAATACATATCAAAGCTACAAACAAATATCAATTCAACGACTCCACTTGAGTTAAAGCCAATGATTATAGTGCACTAACGCCTTATTTTTCTTCGTATCCCGAACATTTGATCATCACACAGCTTTCATACTCTTGTTAATTTATCTCTCTTGAATTTTTGGCTTTTTTCCAGTCAATAAACCTTTACTTAACCACGTTTAGATACACCACAGTTTCGGGATAAATGCCGCTAACGTTCATGCTCTGACTACTAAGAATAAACCAAGTAGCACTAACCTTAACTGTGATCCTGAATGGTAGCTTCACATTTCATGATAAACAACAGGATAAAATTTCTGACAAATAAATTTTGACAGAGGGATTTAATAGGTATTTTTCTAGCCATAAATAATTTTATCATATTTCCAGTCTATAACAACAATTTACCAAATACAGTATTGGTTCTAGCTTTTCTTTATATACATTACCAACAATACTAAATCCACAATAAAACTGATATATTTTAAAGCAATTCACAAGAGAAGGAATATTAAGGAGAGTTTTCTTGAAATAACTCTATTTATGGTTTAAGGTTTATATACTCCTACGAATGCATCATGAGAATACAGCTGCTGAATTCACGAAAATCCGTATAATTGATATCGATTATTAAACCACGCAAACGATTGGTTCCACTTACTGATAAAAGTCTATCTAGGCACGGTTATATGGAGCATTCACTCCTGTAGTAATATACCTTAATAACTTTACTATGGCGTAAAACAGAACACGAAGATGACTACTTAAGTCACATGGATGCCTATTTCAACGATTCCAATACAGTATTCATTCCACCCGAAGAACAAGTTATTAGCATTGATCCGTGCCAAGAGAATAAAACAGTCAATGCATATTCATTATTATTATTGTTATTACTCATAGGAAATTATTTTTAAGCCTACCAAGAAAATGAGAAGATTGTCACATATTTGAACATAACGGTTAGGTTTACTGAAACTAACCAACTAGTGGTTAATCTGTTGAGCTGGAGTGCCGCTCCACCTACAGAGATTCATGTTGCTAAGGAAGATAATTAGTCTTCATGCAATAGGTGTAGATCACTTTCTGTTGGATGAACTTAATGTAACTGATCAGCTACTCTTTTTTACTTGGTGACTAAGTCTAGTATATTACGTAACTCAACAAAGTATTAGTTTTATTTATCACACCAAGAAATCGACAAAAAGTTAACACAATGAACCATTCTCATTGATGAAAAGTATTACTGGAGTGTCTTGTTAAACATATAGTGAAAATCTTAAAAAAACGAATGTTTGTGTTCAAGGAAAAGCAATTTTAAGTAGTCTAACCAACTACAGTCATGTAGATTCCAGACCGTAAGCTTAGTTCAATACATGACTTATTTCTGCCAGTTTGCCACAAAGCAACATGGAGCTAGCATAAAGGTGAGTCTATTGAAACGATAGCACTTTACATTATTGCTATATGAAAATATAAAGCAGAATAGGAATCATTATGAAATGGGAGAACGATATAATTGAAAATGGAGCCGATGATTAAGTGTATAAAGGATATGATTCTGACTTAGAGAATTCTTAATGATTTTGTCATTAGTTGTGCTTCTAAACAGTGCTATAGCCTCCCAAATATCAAATCATGTGTTACGAACCACATCAATAAATTCCTAGCTATTAATTGAAGTCTGTCGATCAAGTTTGAAGATGCACTTCATTGGTAAGCGTCAAATATACTGACTAATTCTTAACATTTAACGGGAAGAAAGTAGTGCAAAGATATGTAAACCAGAAGGAAAAAAATATTTACCTTGCTTTTAGTCCTCCGAATGTCAAATGCAAGACGATTAGATTGATCATATAATTCGTGTTCTGAAAGACTTGGTTCGTACAGATCGGGGAATATTTGCGGTTCTGATTGAGTTAAAAGTAATTTGAAAATAGGCCAAAAATATGTCGGTGAATTGTGATCAGAACGCGACTTATCATTGAAAGTTAAACTCTTGTTATTATTAAATTTATTACTATTTAAAGTAGTATTAAAGCATAAAGTATTAGCCCGAGGAAGATTTGCCACAGGATTATATGTATCCAAAGGTTCAGCATATTTTCCTATCAAGTTGTTGACAATCATTTCAGCTAGTTCAAGTTTTACCTCAGCGTAAACACATTTAACTGCATCAACGAAAATATCCAAATCGCTAGACGCCTTAAAATCATCAAAGTTGTAAGGAGCAATAAGGATATTGTCCTTTAGGTGAGCTTCGTTATCACAATGTGAAATCATTTGATCATCAGTTTGTACTCCAACATCGACAAACGACACGTTATGTCTACCCGTTGTTGGAGCATTTAACATAAATGGGGATAAACATTTATTACTGTAATTGATGTTATTATTGTAAATATAATGATCACTATTATTATTTTTACGCAGATTTTCAGAAAATGAACAAAAATTAGTTGTTTCAGCTGCGGTATCTGAATTCGATTGACTGTTCATCTCTAAGGAAGCATTCATTTGAATAATATATTTTCTAAACCAATATGATTTTAATGAATAAGTAGATTTTTCAATAGAATCTAAAATAACGAAAGGCAAAACGGTGAACATTATTATTACTGGTAACAACATTATTCTTCTAACTTCTTTTACATACAAACTTGGTATAACATGAACATGGAGAAATGTGTCACTTAATATAAGAGCGTTATAAGGCCGAAAACTAGACGAGGTGAGATAAGCGAGAGAACAGAGCGCTGATAACGTCAACTTCAAAAAACACGTTTAAAAAGCTTATATTACATCTGCACTATTTTTTCAGAAAACAGAAGAAACGTGATAGGTTGTTTGGGATTCTGATGATGACCTTAGTCTCTAATTTGCGTCTTGTCGTTGATTCCAAGCAAGATGTGTCTCATTGTTTCAGAAAGATGGCTTACAACCAATGGGTCACGGGTTTGAACACTGCTCCACCTACTGAGGTTTAGATAGCTAGGTAGTATCATTAGTCCTCATAAAATAGGTATTACTCATTGTTTAGTGGATGAATATGTACAAAGCTGTTGATTGCATTTTAATTTTAATTCCCATGGGAGGAGTCTTACAGTAGCTATAAATGTTAGTCCAACACAACTAATTTTTATCTAACTGCTTTGCATTTATACTTACCACCTTTACATTTCCTCCAACCACTTCTAGGGCCAGAAGGTAGTAAGCATTATTGAAGCTGCTAGAATGCCAAAGGTAATACATTTGCAAACTAACATAGCTACTGCATCTGAAATAAATTACCTACTGATTGACTTTCACTAGCATGTTTAGACATACTCCAATAGTCCAAAAGAGACAGTGGCGATCAACCACACAGAGTAGTAAGAAATTTTTCGCTCCGAGCAACCAAGCATCAGAGACAGATTTGGGTTAGTTCTACCAAAGTGTTTCATATCTGACAATCAGATGAATGATGCGATGGTGTCTCGGATGACCGAGATTGACTTATACTCCTTTGGTTTCCGGTATTCCATTTAAACACCGACAGTCACATCTTTATCAGCGCTCACAATCATCTGAGTACCTTTCAGATACTTCCAGCGTTCAGTGATCAAGGATAAGTGCAAACACACGCTCCTATCGATCTCTTATAAGCAAGTTGTATTTCGCTGGTGTAAAGCAAACATCAGGCTTATTGAGAGTAGCAGGATGAAGCTTGTGGGTAAATTGGTTAGTCTAGGTGCATAGTGTAGCACAAGGCTAGAACATCACCTATAGCTAAAGAAGGTTAAACAAGTACATTAACCGGCTACCTAACAGAAATTCTGAGACACAGTACTACTCACTAGACCACTTGTCTGCTTAGTTCAGAAAGTAGTAAGCTAGGCCATGAAACGAAAATGTAGTGGATAAAAAACTCTTGTCTAGTCGATAAAAGCGAATCCTGTAAAACGAATATCAAAAACTAGATGAAAAGTTTTACAACTGAACATATGGGAAGAAAAGAAATTAAGGGTAACCTGGTGGCTGCATCTAAGCTTAAGTGTATCGCTGTCATCCATAAGTTAACTTGATCCAACAATCTAAAGTCGGGTTGCAGGACAAAACAGTGAAAAAAAATTTCTTCTATGGACATAAAGCTAATGCGAATCAAAACAGCAATAATAGCTAGTGTGTGGTTGACAGAATAAACTAATTTAGTGTCTTCTGGTGAACGTTTGAAAATTATGATGCGAAGTAGAAAATACAGAACACAAGAGAAACAAGACAACAGTCAAGAATTTACCACCTGCAGCATATAAACCAATTTAATGTAGTCTAAATGTTTTCATCAGGTAATAGGAGAGAAAAGTTTCTATTTCACCAAGTCCTACTATTAATCCTGTTGATAAGAGAAACAGAACGACTACAGAAAATTCGGAATGAAGTTACACGAAAACTGTAATTGACTTTTTTCCATTTATGATGAGACATTCATCGAAAACGGTCACGTGGTGGTCTGCTAGGAGTTGTGTAACAAGTCTAAAACTGCCTTTTGTCCCAGATAGCATCATTGGCCTTGAAACAGTGAACAAACTTGTCTCACAGTCAAATACAACATTAACACTTATTTACTGAAGTGCATCTAACTCTTTTCATGTCAGAAATATAAACTTTCAATTGGGCGTGAAAGAGTATGTCAGTAGAGTGAATACAAACTGTTAAACTAGTCTTCATATTTACATGCTATATTATAAGTCGAGTATACTTTGGGTGGTCTCTATACCAGCAAAGCGTAAAAAAGCAAGGAAACACTTATAAAATGACAAAAGTAAAATACTGAGGTGATGATATTCAAGTGTTCACGGTAAGCACCGAACATAAGCAATAACAATAGTGATTATGAAATACTAATCATAAAAAAGTCTCTACATATCCAGCTCAACAGCTATACAGACGTTTACATATTACATAGTACTAAACATTTTGTGCAACTAAGGCTAGTTATCTTAGCAGACTATTGAAAGCTAAGTACTGATACCAACGATATACATACTTGAAGTTGAGATTACACTTTCAGGCGTTTAAGTCGACAGCAAAATCAAAACAAACCAGTTTGAAATAGGGAATTTATCCCTAAACAGATGACGAACTATTGTCTTTTTATGACTAACAGCTGGTCTGAACTTTGAGGGAGGACCTTGGGCTTTCCGGACAGGAAAAAGAAGTGCAATACTGCAGATGTATTCCGTCCTCACCATTGTGAGTGTGATAGACATACTAGTCAGTTGCTGTTTAGTAAGTATCCAATTATTATTTCTGGTGTGGTATTCATCCCGGACTGAGACTAGTTGGAGAACCATTGAAAACCAAGGAGCACTGGACAGCTGTTTGGTCACAGTATGGGACTCCTTAGTAGTGCGCATCCATGACCCTAATAGGGATCGAGCCCATGACCAGGTCTCACAAAGAGCATTTCACCATTCAGGCATTGAGTGGGAATCCAATGGTGCACATTTTTCTACTACTAGCTCAATGGTGGACTGCTAACTACGAAAGCTGTCGGTCCTCGGTTCAACCGCTGACAGGGCCTTGGGTACACTGTTGAGAAGTCCATACTAGCAGGAAAAAGCTACCCAGTGCCTCAAGGTATTCAACTGCCCTTCAGTGGATTTCAGTTCGTGATAAATACCATCTGTAAATCAATAAATCTCCGCAGGCCTCCAAACTATGTATTATTATTTTCTAACTGCTCAGTAGTATTACCATTAACGTCATTGTTTCCCTTCTGTTAAATGATTTCAAAGCGAGTCGATCCACTGTACCGTTTATCTACACAAAACTGAAAGTTTAGGCACCCGTTATCTGATCAATTAATGAGAATTTAGCCTCATTAATATAAATGATAAACAGCTTAAAGGAAAAGCTTATGTCTGTTATTTCTAATCTGTTTTGCAACATTAATACTCCTTCAACTTTAATTATCGTTGCCGAAAGTAACACGTTTCTGCACTATAACAACTTCCTTTGTTTGCCAGTGGATGATACAGCCACAGCTTCATAAACAAGGACACAAAAACGTGAAGAATTAAACAAACCTTTTATAATTTATTACATAAATATAACCGTCCGAATTATTACAACTATTATAATAATAATTACAGGATAACAATTAAAAAACTATGAACAGATAAAATCTTTCTTCAAAAACGCATACAAGTATGCAATGCCGCGGTTGTGCATTCAAATAAAGTCAAGCTGAGATCATATTAAAATATACTCTTATCAAGTAGAACTAATTTACAGCATGAATCAAACCCTTAATAAGTAAATAAAATGTTTTAAGCAGCAAGAGTAAGTTGGATATCATATCATAACAACAAAATGGAATAAAAACATCTCACTGAAAACAACAATAATAGTAATAATAAATATAATAATGACGATAACACCTACTACGTGTTAGTCACGGTCATTACGGATCAATACGATCTGTGTACATATGTGGACTTGTAGGCATAGAGATATACTTAAGCCTACATACCTAATGCATATGTTGTATCATGTATCATACGTACGTGCATACATGCCTACCACATATATTTAGTTGCCTAATGAGATAGATAAATAGATAGAGTAAATTAATTTTACACTAGTTTTTTTCAAGAAAAATGTCATATGAACAAGTAAAATGTGAACGAAATTAGAAAAGCGGAAAGTGCTAATAAACACAATAAGAAAGAAGTATATACGTAAACAGAATAAATCAGTCTATTTCAGTGTGAATGAATCTAATCAATCTCAACACTATCCGAACGTATACCAAAATATTCTCTCAAGCAAAGTGAAAATAATTCACGAAGCACAATGAAGTAATGTTCACCTTTTCCAATGAATGAAAAAATAATCATTGATACCTGTAATTTACCGTTTTTATACTGGGTCGAGCTAGTTGACCTGGATTGAAATACAGGTTCCTAATTAAAATTTGAATATGACTGGCTTCAGTACTTAATTAAAGAGAATAAGACTTCAGCGAACTACTTCGTTTCCATGAGTTTAGTTTCATCAATAAATTTGAATAAGGTAAGCTCATGTAGATATGCAGAATGAAACATCTTTTGATTTCATAGATATAAATCAAGTGAATACACCCTTATATTACAATGGTTATTTGAAAAAAGGTACACAGTAGTATATCGTAGCGAATAAGGTACTATAAAATTAGGGAATCCAAAATACTGAGAAAACATAAAACGCTTTGCTAGTCAAACCATTGCAACTTTACACGTTATGAAACAGAGGGCTAATTAATTACAAAAAGGGTTGAGAAATATGAGGAAAGGAACGACTATTACTAAGTATCGATTATTTGCCATGCTAACAAGACAGAGAACAAGTTGAAATCATAGGATCATGTAATTAGAATTAAACAAGATCTAACTACAGCCACCTCCAAAATGAGTGTTCATCATACCCTCTTTATTTATGCATAGGTACATTTGAAAGCGTTTCATAACAACTCACTCTGTCAGATCTAATAGTTGAGGCATTTTAAGGGCATTTGGAGTTTCAAAAGTACCATAAGTATTAAATTTATGC